TAGGGTGACATTCACACTATATGTACAAAAAAATAAAATAAATAGAACAAAATAATAATCAAAAGTATATACAATAGATAATAAAATAAAATAACCTAAAAAATAAGAAAATTAAAACATGCATACCTATATACAATCAGGCGAGGGAACTCCAGGAGAACCCTGCGCTACTCTCCCAACCGCGTCACTGGTACTAAAGCCAGCGGAGATTGATCGAGAGCACTTTAGCCACATACACTCATGTCTTGAGTGAAGAATCTGGCCATTGCCAGAACTCCAATTTATACAATCTACAAAAGGTCGCGAGGCCACTGCCGTTTCAACCTTCCTGGAGGATTATAGGGATGGGAGGTGCTTGATAGGGATTGTGCAAGAGGATTTGGGTGGTACGTAAGGTTCTGGTGAAATTTGGAGAATTTTCCTGAGATAAGATCTAGGACAAATGGGATATTGAGGTCATGATGTAGGGTTTTGTTGGTTACATAGAAAGGAGCATCGACTATTGTTCGAAGGACTTTAGACTGGAAGGATTGGATGCGCTTGATGTTAGAAAATTTTGCTGATACCGACAGTTCTAGTCCGTAAGTCCAAATAGGTTTCAGTATTGTCTTGTAGATCAGTAGCTTCTTTTCAATGGAAAGTTTAGATTTTCTGCTTAGTATCGTCGGTTGAGTTCTTATCTTTTGAGTCTAGTATGCGGGTTCCATGTAAGTCTTCGGTCTAAATGAAAGCCAAGATATCGGACTGTGTCTGAGTAAGAAAGCTGGATGGAATTAAAGAATACTGGTGGACAGGAATTGCGTCGGAGTGTAAAGGTAATATGTTGACATTTAGATTCATTAACTTTTATGCGCCAGTTATTACACCAGTGCTCAATCAAGGTGAGGTGGCTTTGGAGATTTAAGGATGCTATTTCGGGATCAGAGTTGGATGATAAGATTGCGGTGTCGTCAGCGAATGTTGCAAGGAAAGTATCGGGATGAACAGGGATGTCAGCAGTAAAGAGGATGTAAAGCACGGGACCCAAGACGCTGCCTTGGGGAACACCGGCTTTAACGGAGTAGATATTGGAAAATTCTGTTCCACAGCGAACTCGAAAGGAGCGGTCAAAGAGGTAGGATCGGAGGACTAGGTACAAGGACTGAGGTAAATGGATTTTAAGCTTGGAGAGCAGTCCGGAGTGCCATACCCGGTCAAATGCCTGTGCAATGTCCAGAAAGGCACCCGAACAGTATTCCTTGTTTTCTAGGGCTGAGGAAATATGATCAACAACTCGGAGTCCTTGATGAACAGTAGAATGTTGAGAGCGAAAACCAAACTGATGGGAAGGGCTATTTTGGGATTCTATAATGGGTAGGATTCGTTTCAAAAGGATCTTTTCAAAAATTTTTGAAAGGATTGGGAGTAGGCTAATTGGTCTATAGGATGTTGAGCTATTGGGAGGTTTGCCTGGTTTTGGGAAAAGGATACACTTGTAGATATATGTAAGGAATATGGCTGCTTTGGATGGAAGTTGCCGAAGGATTTGAGGGGTAAGGAGCTTTACGGGGGATTAGTTTTCTTAATTGAAATTTCACTTCGGAAGGATGAATAGCTTTTGGGGGAAAGGAAAGTGGGATTGGTGAGGTAAGGAGTTCTTCTACTGCTACGGTGTGGGCAGGATGGGATTCCGGATGTGAAATAAATGTATTGGATAGGTGAATGGCGAACTCCTCAGCTTTATCTTCGTCAGATGCTGCCCAGGAGCCATCACCTCGTCGGAGAGGATGGGAAATGCGGTGAGGATTTAGGATTTTTGTTGTGGTTTTCCAAAGGGAATTGTCGCGAGAAGAGAGGGAGGATAGGTAGGAGTTGAAGGATTGTGATCTGAAGGTGGCTAATTCCAGTTTTAATTGTTTGCAGTAGTAATTATAGGAGCAGCGGTCGGTAGGATGTCGGGTACGTTGCCATAATAATCTGGCACGGCGTTTGGTGCGGATTAGGTTAAGGAGGTGTTGGGGTAGAATGGTCTTTATAGGAATTCTGGAGGAGTCTTTTGGGAAGGAGGCAGTCCAGGCGGCTTGTTGGATTGTGGTAGTAAAGGAATTTACGGCACTATCAAGGTCATCGGGAGTTTTGAGGGATATGTTGAGATCAATATTATCGGAGATTATTTGGCGGAAAAGGTCCCAGTTTACTGGGCCCCTAATGAATGACGGTGGAGAAGGTTTGGGAACAGGTTCAAGTGAAACATTAAGGATTAGAGGACTATGGTCAGAGGAAAGTTCATTTAGACGTGTAATGGAACAATTGAGGGGACTTAAGCCGCTGTGGATAAAGAAATCAAGAAGATCAGGATTACGGTTGGGATCTGTGGGCCAGTAGGTTGGAGAGTTGGGGGAAAGGAGGTGAAAACGTTGGGAATTGAGTGCAGACAGCAGGGTTCGGCCACGAGAATTCGTGGTTCTGGAACCCCAGTGTTGGTGCTTGGCATTTAGGTCTTCACCCAAGATGAATTGATGTCCTAAGGAGTCGAGGAGAGAACTGCATTGGGCATTGGATATGGATCGATTAGGAGGGCAATTCGCTGATGCAAGAGTAACCGGAAAGGAGAAGGTTTTTATCACGATAGCGGTGGACTATAGGTAATAGGAGTACGTGATGGGAGAGGGATTGGTGTACAATTACAGCAGTACCGGCATGTGCTTTTCCGTCAGGATGGTCAGTACGATATGTTAGGTATTGTGGTATTTTGAAGTGCTGTTTAGTGGTTAGTCGAGTTTCAGTAATTAGTGCCACATCAATGTTCTTGTCAAGTAGTAAAGTAGATAGTTCGTCTGTATGATTTCTAACACCATTCGCATTCCAAAGGAGAATGGATATGGGTTTAGGGATGTGAGTCATTTAAGGATTTTTCAAAGGAGGGATGAGGTGAGATACGAGATTCGTGAGGAGTGATATGAGTGGAGTAACAAGGGATTTGAAATCGGTGAGGAAAGATGCTAACAAACTTGTGAGATCTGTTGCATTTGAAGGAGGAGGAATATGAGGAATTTGTTGTTGGTGGTTAGGTATATTAGGATGAAGAGGATTTTGAGGTTGGGTTGAGGTTGTTGTTGTGGCAGGGCTTGACATTTATCGGTTGAAGTCTTACCTCTAAGTAGTTGGGAGAATGATACATCATTGTTTACAATTCTGGAAGGCTCTCTCTCTCTTCTTGTTCTTAGTGCTTCATCTTGAATCCGGTTTTTCTGGTGTCTGGTTTTGAGATTCTTGTAAATTTGGCAGCCTTTGTAGTTGGCCGGGTGTCCCTCCAAGCATAGGGCACATACTGCTGGATCTTGTATAGGTTTGGTGCACTCTACAGATTTGTGCTGTTCACCGCACTTCACGCAACGCGGCAGATGGTGGCAATATGTCTTCGTGTGGCCATAGGTCTGACAATTATGGCACTGCACGATGTCTCTCTTGGGATATGGCTTCTCAACTTTCACCATTGTGTAGTATATTCTTGTGATATCATATATTTTTTCGATACCTGGTGATGGCTCCAAGTCCACGAAAAACAATGGTAGTGGGATCCTATTTCGTAATCCTGGCTGCTCCCTGTCCTCCTTCAAAACGTTTGTTACCTGGCGTACATTGAAACCAAGCGTCGTTAGTTCTTCTTTAATAACTTCAGTGGGGGTTGAGGAGTGTAAATTTCTTATCACTACTCGTAAAGCTCTTTCCTGCCTCAGCTGGTAAGTGTGAAAATTCGCATTTGTTTCTGATAAGTACTTCACTATTTTTCGGTAGGCTTCTGCAGAATCAGGTGTTATTTTGGTGTCATTGGTCCTGTTAAGGCATGAATAACTGCCAGAGCAGATTTTATTTAGTTGGGTGCAGAACATCTGGAAATTTTTTATATTTTTCACAAATATCGGAGGAGGCTTTGGTTCTCTGGGTATTGCTGCAGACTCCATTACTTCTCTGTCATTTTGAAGCACTTGGTAGGGGTTTGGAGTAAAGAAAGGTGATTCTTCAATCGTTTCTTGTGCAGACGTACCTGGTTGGGGCTGAGGTTCTGGTTCTGAAGTGTTCACTTTGGTCACTGGAGGTATTTCTCGTAGGCAGCGACGAGTCCTTTGTTTGGCTGGTAAACCACGTGGTGTACTAACGCCGTCTGACCAAGTCCTCTTGTGCACCTTACTGGCCATCACATGCTGATCATACCGCATATCATGAAAGAAGGATAAAGGAAAAAAAAAAAAAAAAAAAAAATTAAAAATAACAAAAAAAAAGATGTCAACAGTAAATATCAACTGCTCTGATGTACACTTTAACTGTAGTACGTGAATAATCAGAGATATTCCGCTATAAAATAGGCAAAAACTGAGAGAGGAGTTGAGAAGACAACCTTCGCATCAGCTGATCCACTGCCTTCCTATTATTATTAAAGACATTTTTTTTTTTTTTTTTAATAATTTAGAAAATCCAATGAGCGGGGAATTATTTTCCCTTTATTACTTTTATTATCTTTCCAGTCAGTGTTTAAAAATAGGTCCTAGCAATGCAATTAGTACAAATATCTTGGTCTATTATGTTTAATGGAATTTCGTAATCGACCAAGGAAAAAATATTAATTCCGTCCTTACATAATACATCCGAACTACTTATTTCCATATTGTTTTGCTATTTTTTGGGTAAATAAAATGTTCTGCGAATTATTCGCACGGGCCAACTAGTAATTATTAAATATTCATTAATTACTTTACGGTATTTAATTAATTGTTTTATCTTTGTTATAATTATTTCACTTTTTTAATTTAGATGTATTGATAACATTACTTTATTTGTTATTTATTGTTGAAGTTATTTATTTATTTTAGCTTTTACTTATAATATTAGTATTTAATTAATACATAATGAAAAAATATGGTTTGTTCTCAGAAAATATAATTTTCTGTTATTCTACCCAAAACCTCATTCTCTCCATAGTAATTTATTATTTCTAATGTCTATTAATATTATTATTACAGAATGAAATCCATAGTGTTGATGAAGTATTAAGGAAAAAAATTTTTACGACTGTTGTAGATGAACACAGAGTAATATTATAATACGTTATATTACTCATTGTTAAGTTGAAATATATAATAGCATTAATTATTGTCTTTATTATTTCAGGGAAATGTCGACGTTTCAAAAACTGATGACGGTAAACAAATTAATTTATAGTTTTATTTTATTTTTTTTTAATTTAAATATTTGTATTCATCTATCCAGAAATGATTTTATTAAAGCATCTTAATTGACATTTTATCAATTCTTCTAGGAAGCGTATGATTTTTTTCGATTTAATTTGTTTTCTGTACTGTTTACTAAAACATTTAAAACTCCTCAAGATGTGCTTCAAATGCAAGGTTACTACAACCGCTATGAAGTCAAATTACCGCTCTTCCAATCCGTTCCGATTACGTTTGAATTGAATTATTTTGTATAGAAAAACTTTTTACTGGGTTATATTTTATATTTACCGTTCTAAAATGTTTAAGGAGGGTGGTTTTGAGATATGTCGTGAGGTTTGCAGGATCCTAAGTTTCTAAGGTGAAGTTAGGTTGAATTTATCACATTTTTAAAATTTTTGATAAAAAATCCCATGTCTCTCACCGCTACACTGAGTTTTTTTTTCAATTTTAAATTTATTTATTGAATAATAATACAATCAACCACTGCTGGAGGGCTATAAGCATTAGGGCTAAAAGTTCTCATTCATACAATATATACAAATAATAAAGAAATAAATATAAATATAAGAAGTAAATAAATAATACTGATGAAGAAGGTAAATAAAAAAAAATAAACAAATAAAATAAAATAAAAACTTCTAAACACAATCATAACTATATACAATATATACATTCGCCCAAGAATCTCCGAGCCAGGCTTTTCCTCCCACATGTGGAAGGCAAAGCAAGACTCCGGAAGATCCCAGTGCCACTTTTCCAGCCGCATCACTAGTATTAGTAGCCAGTGGAGACTGAAAGAGGGCACTAGAGCTACAGACGCTCAGGAAATGAGTGGAGAAGCTGACTATTGCCAGGACTCCAAAGGTATATTTACAAAAGATCTCGAGGCTACTGCCGTTTCAACCTTCGAGGGGGATGGTATGGATGCTCGGAGCTGGATAGGGATTGCGCTAGAGGATTGGGATGATGGATAATGTTCTGGTGAAAGTTGGAGAATCTGGATGGTATGATGTCATGAACATATGGGATGTTAAGGTCATGGTGTAGGGTCTTGTTCGTGACATAATATGGAGCATTGACTATTGTTCGAAGGACTTTGGACTGGAAGGATTGGATGCGTTTGATATTCGATGATTTATTTGTCCCCCATAGTTCATGTCCGTAGGTCCAAATAGGTTTCAGTATGGTCTTGTAGATTAATAATTTGTTTTCTGTTGAGAGATGAGATGTTCTGTTTAGTAGTCTATATAGCTGACCAAATCGTCGGTTAAGCTCTTACCTTTTAAGTCTCGTATGTAGGTTTCAAGTTAGTCTTTTGTCTAGAAGGAAGCCAAGGTATCGGACTGTGTCTGAGTAGGGAAGAGGAATTAAAAAGGATTGGCGGACAGGATCTGCGTCGACGAGTGAAAGTGACATGTTTGCATTTTTATTCATTAATTTTGATGCGCCAGTTATTGCACCACTGCTCAATGGAGGAGAGGTGTCTTTGCAGGTTTCGGGATGCTATTAGGGGATCTGAATGGGAGGATAGGATGGCAGTATGTTGCTAGGAAGATATCAGGACTTGAAGGGATGTCAGCGGTGAAAACGATGTAGAAAACTGGGCCCAAGACACTGCCTTGGGGAACACCAGCCTCAATTGGATAATGTCTGGAGAGTTCAGAGCCGCAGCGGACTTGAAAGGAGCGATTTGAAAGGTAGGATTTGAGGACTAGGTACAAGGGTTGAGGTAAATGGGTTTTGAGCTTGAAAAGCAAGCCATCGTGCCACACCCGGTCGAAAGCTTAAGGTACGTCCAGAAAAGCACCAGTGCAATATTGCTTGTTTTCAAGTGCAAAGAATATGTGGTCCACAACGCGAAGGCCTTGTTGGACAGTGGAGTGTCTTGAGCGGAATCCAAACTGAAGGGAAGGGATATTGTGGGATTAGAGTATGGGTAGGATGCGTTTGAGAAGGATTTTCTCAAAGATTGTGGAAAGGTTCGGAAATAAGCTTATCGGTCTATAGGATGAAGTATAATTAACAAGTTTAGGAAAGAGGATAATTATGGAGTGTTTCCACACCAGAGGAAAGTTGGTTGTGCGGAGGATACAGTTGAATAGGTATGTAAGGAATATAATTGCTTTTTTGGGAAGTTGTCTGAGGATCTGGGAAGTAAGGAGATCGTGTCCTGGAAATTTGTAAGGTTTTAGATTCTTTAAAAGGAATTTGAACTCAGAGGGGGTTGACGGCTGTAGAAGGTAAGGAGAGAGGAATCGGTGAAGAGAGGAGAGGAATTCTTTAACTTCAGTAGTATGGGAGGGATGGAGTTCAAGATGAGGAGTGAATGTGTACGATAGATGTTTAGCAAACTCTTCTGCTCTATTCTTATTTGACGAAGCCCAGGAACCATCATCACGGCGGAGGGGGCGGGAAATGGATTGGAATTTAAGGATTTTTTAAATTAGATTCCAGAGGGAGTTATCACTCGCAGATAGTGAGGAAAGATAGGAATTATAGGATTGGGATCTAAATGTAGCCAGTTTTTGTTGTACCTGCTTGGAATAATAGTTATATGATTTCCGATCATCAGGATGCCTGGTTCTTTGCCAGATGATCCTAGAGCATCTTTTTCTATTAATAAGGTCCAGTAGGTCTTGGGGTAGAGGATTTATTTTGCGGTATTTTTTAGAAGGATCAGGTGAAGATGTCCAAACTTGTGCTTGCAGTGGTGAAGATGCTTGTTGGATCAAGGTAGTCATGGAATATACTGCTTCATCTAGGTCTGCAGGTATTTTTAAGGAAACTCTGAGGTCAATATTATCATCCAGTATTTGACGGAAGAGGTTCCAATTAACTGGCCTTCTGATAAATGAAGGTGGAGGAGATTTGGGAATTGGTGATATGGAGACCGTTAGGATTAGGGGACTATGGTCTGAGGAAAGATCATCAAGTCTTGAAATGCAATAATTAAGGGATCCTAGACCTTTGTGGATGAAAAAATCTAGAAGATCGGGATTACGGTTAGGATCTGTTGGCCAGTATGTGGGAGAATTGGGTGAGAGGATGTTGCTGTGATGGGAATTCAGTGCAGACAGCAATGTTCGTCCTCGGGAATTTGTGGTTCTGGCTCCCCATTGCTAGTGTTTAGCATTTAAGTATGCACCTAGAAGGAAGCGGTGTCCTAAGGAGATAAGGAAAGAAGTTAATTGGGATTCTGATATGGGTATTTTAAGCGGGGAGTATGCTGCGACTACTGCTATTGGGTAAATGGAAGCTTGGATTATCACGGCAGTAAATTGTAGGAAATTATGGGTTATCAAAGGGAATAGATGGTGGGAAAGGGATTGATGGATAATTTTGGCAGTGCCAGCATGTACTATTCCATCAGGATGGTCGGTTCGATATATATGATAGATGGGGATGTTAAGTGGTCGCTTGTTGGTAAGTCGAGTTTCAGTTATTACTGCTATATCGATGTTTTTGTCCTGTAATAAGATTGTTAGTTCGTTGATGTGATTTCGAATATCTTTCGCATTCCAAAGGAGAACGGAGAGGGATTTGATTGGGGACATTTAAGGATTTCTCGGCAGTGGGATGAGGTTGGATACAACATCGGTAAGTAAGGAAATGAGAGGAGTGATGAGTGACCTGAATTCAGAGAGGAAAGAAGTCAATAGGCTTGTGAGGTCAGTGGCATTGAGAGGAGGATGATTTAATATCTGGTTATCAGGCCTAGGTTCAGAGATGGGATCAGGGTCTTGAGGTTGAGATGTGAATAATCGAGGTTGAGGTTCTTGTGGCAGGGCCTGAGTTTGTGTGGGTGCAGTGTCTCTATTGAACATCTGAGAGTACACTCTTGTATTTACAGTTCAGGGTTGTCTTGGTGGCTTGGATGACCGTTCTTCTCTTGGAGCTGCATAAATTCTTGCTTTCAGTTCCTTATATGTTTGGCAACCCTTGTAGTTCGCTGGGTGCCCTTGATGGCATAAAGCGCATACTGCTGGTGTTCTTCTGGACTTCTGGCAGTCATCTGTTTTATGTTGATCACCGCACCTGACACATCTAGGAATGTGGTGGCAATAGCGTTTCGTACGACCATAAGCCTGAGAGTTATGGCATTGTACAATGTCGCGCTTAGTGTAGGGCTTTTCTAAAACAACGCTAGGGTAATAAAGGCGTGTGACTTTGTAGATGTCTTTGACCTGGGGCGTTCGGTCAAGGTCAACGAAGAATAGTGGGAGCGGTACTTTATTTTTTGTGCCAGGCTGTTCTCTATCTTCCTTGAATATATTAACTATTTGGCGAACACGGAACTCCATCTCAGTTAGTTCTTCTTTAATGGCATCCAGCGGTGTTGATGGGTGTAATCTGCTGATCACCACCCTGAGCGCTCTCTCTTGGCGCAGCTGATATGTATGATAATCCGCCTTAGTGTCAGATAAATACTTGACAATTTTTCTGTACGTATCTGGAGTGTCAGGCATTAATTTCGTGTCATTAGTGCGGCTTTGGCATAAGTATTTACCTGAGCCCACTATATTTAATTGTAGACACATTAATTGAATTTTTTTTATATTTCTAACGAATATTGGTGGAGGTTTAGGTTCACTAGGGGCGGGTACTGCTTCCATTTGTTCATTCTGTGTGTTTGACAGCGCTTGGAATGAATTAGCTGTAAAAAAAGGGCGATTCTTCTAACGTACATTGGCATAGCTTGTGTTGACATATTTTGTGTTGATGTGCCAGGTTAATTTTCGACTTCGTCTTCTGAGCTCTCTGGTGTAGCTAGCGGGGTATTTTTTTTAGATCGTCTAGCCCATTTCTTGATAGGTGAACTCTTTGTGGTATCGAGACTCCTAGAGCTTAAAGTTGGATTTTTACCTTTGCTCGACATTACCATGTGAAAATAGCGCATCTCGTATTAATTTAATAAGAGGTAAATGTAATAATTTGAAAAAAAATGTCCTTTATCAATTACGTATATATCATGCGAGTTTGTAGAAGTCTGAGTAACATAGACCTGCCTCCGCCGAAGGGCAGCAGCCCACTGGTCGGATTAGCGAATGTATATGGCCGGCTTGTTATCTGTCACTAACCTCAGATCTATTTATGATGTTCAAAATGCCGCTATAAAAAAGTGATTACTCACCTTATTTATGTCCAGCTTCAACTTAATTGTTAACTTAACAGTTTACACTACTTTTTCACATATAATATGAATTATTTCACTGGTAATAAAGTCACTTTATAAGAGACGAAATAAAGAGTTTATGTGTAAGGTTAACACATGCGCAGAATTGAACTAGGTTCGTTCCTCTATCAAATCGTCCTTCTTACGCCTACAACCTTCTCCAATTCAAGTCCTCAGTCCACTACCTTTCTACTTAACCAAAAAAACATTCATTGAAATCGGTAAAGCCACGTCCTCTGTGAACAAATAGTAACAATTGTGCTCTTAAAGAATTCCTTCTTTCGTATCTTGGTAAGGAAAAAAAAAAAAAAAATCGAACCCGCCTTTGTTTAATTTACCAATAAACACGTTTGGTTGCAACAAGCCTGAACATCACATTTTGATATGAAAAAAATATTTTTCACTCATAATATTATTTTTTTACAGTTGAAAACTCTAAAGATGCAGCAAAAAAAAAGCAGGTAATTCACTTACTCATGATTTATTAATTATGTTTTGCTCAAAAATATTAATATATTCTTTGAAATTCGTTTATGTAGGTTGTAGTAATTGAAAATGGCCAACTGATTGAAAAAGTAGGCAAAAGACCACGCACCACATCACCATCTTCAACTTCTTCTTTAGGCCGCTTGGAGGGACGGGTAGGTTAGTAAATGTTACCTATAATCTATTAAAGAAATTTTCGGCATATAACCTTTTTATTTTTAGATACGTAATCTTCAAGCACAAATTGACAATATTGGAAGTACTGTTTTACCCAGTGATCAAGGGTTAATACAAAAACTAAGATTGAGTCAAGAAGCTAAACCAGTCACAGATTTATTAAACACCATGAAAATAACGAAAAGAATGTCAGGAGCGGAAGAAGAAATTGATAGGGTATTAATTATTTTATAAACTATAGGAATATTTTTATTCTATATTAATGTTAGTAGCTGTATTACTTTCACTTATGTATAAAGTTATTAAGATATATATATTCAAATGTATAGGACCATTTTTATAGAGATTTTAAAATAATTTAATATTATACTGAACAATATTTATGAAAAAACCTCATAGTTTGTGAGATATTCTTAAAAAAGTAAAAAATATCATTTGTTCTGTCCTTCCTCCCCTCTTTGGGACTTTTTACAGGTTTTTATGGGGAGAGTAATAAACAATTTCTGACAAGTTTCATCTTTATTTTTGAATGGTGGGGTAAGGCTGTTTTTTCCTTAACTTTGCTGGACTATTTCCCTCAGCAGTGGAGGCACCCTGCAGAATAGTTCAGCATTGCTGTTCGGCATCCACATTTGACAATCATAATAATAATAGTGAACTTCCCCAAAATGGCGTCCAAATGTGGCCGAATGACGACTTTGACTTTAGTTAGTTTTTTGGTCACTGAGAATCAGCGTTTGGCTTAATTTCGTCATAGTTGGTCTTTTATTAAAGCTGGATAGTTAGAGAATAATATAACATGAAAAAATGTTAAAAAATAATTGGCTTAGGCAATAAAAAACATCGATAAAATCAATTTTTTTAACAAAAAATTTTCATGTTGAAAATCAAGCGTCGTTTGTATTTAAACGGCCAACAATAACGAAAAACGTGCTGAAATAAACCATCTGGAGAATATATTTTTGTTTCTAAAACACTGATTACTTTTTAAAATATTTGAAGGGGTTCCGTAGAAAATGCATATAAGCGGCACTACAGGCCTCTACCACACCATTCAGTGCTCATAAATGGCTTAGTTATAGTACTATAATAAAGTTTTTACATTATATTGATTTTATTAACGAACAAATATTGATGCAATAATATAATTGTCCAAAAAAAAATTTCTTTTTAATTTAATTTAATTTATTATTTATATTAAAAAAATTAAATTTCCTTTATTCTATACGAAGGTTGTTTAAGAAGGCCACTGTTGTAATAATGATATAATTATAATAATACAACGTTTTTTATTTCCTTTATTTTGTTTGGAAGTTGGACCATGTCATAAAAAATTAGAAAATGTTAATATTGAGCGCATTATTCTCTCTGCACAAAGAAAGATAGAAAGGGCGAAGCTATAAATTCTTCTAGGTAACCGTAACTGATTGTTAATATTTGGTTTCAAAATGAGGGAAAACGCGAAATTGAACCAAAAAAAGGAAGTGCCAAAATCTCGGGGAAAAAAAAACAAGGATCTGTATCCATTATATGGCTAAACAAATTTATAGATGAACAGAATATTTCAAGATGCTGCTAAAAGGGGGTCAAATGCTGCAGGAGTTTGGGTGATACTAACGGGACGATGCAGGTTTATTATGGCGAAGACCATTTTATCAGTAAGAATGATTTGTTTGAAGAAATTGGCAAGTCAGCTGGTCTGGACTAAGTAAACGAGGTTTATTATGGCGAAAACAGCTTTATTTTCAATTGCTTTTGAAGTTGCATATTGGGACTATCTTCACTTTGAAGCAGGTTATAGAGAGGTCTATCGAGAAAGGGAAATATTAAGGGGACGATGCAGGCTTATTATAGTGAAGACCATTTTATCAGCAAGAAAGATTTGTCTGAAGAAAATGGCAAGTCAGCTGGTCTGGACGAACTAAGCCGAACTGCTTCGCACTGTTTTGTTCGTACATAGGCAATAAATGTATTAGAAAGTGATACGAAAAGCTCGTTTTTCTTTCAGATTCCTTCAAAATCTTTTGCAAATGCACTAAACAGAATGAGAAATATTTCTATATCTCGATAGGCCTCTCTATAACCTGCTTCAAAGTGAAGATAGTCCCACTAAGCAACTTCAATAGCAATTGAAAATGAACCATCATAATAAACCTCGTTTATTTGGTCCATACCAGCTGACTTGCCAATTTCTTCGAACAAATCTTTCTTACTGATAAAATTGTCTTCACCATAATAAACCTGCATCGTTCCCTTAATATCATGAAAGCTGCTCCAGCATTTGACCCCCTTTTACCACCCTTTAGCAGCATCTTAAAATATGCTATTCACATTTCTGCTATATATTCGCTTAAACATATAGTGGATACTGATCCTTGTTTTCTTTTTCAGAGATTACTTAGATTACTTCGACTTTTTCAGAGATTAGTACTTCCTTTCTCGTTTGCTTAATGTATTTTCCAAATTGAAATTGAACCCAAATTTCGCTTTTTCCTTCATTTTGAGACCAAATACTAACAATCAGTTCCGGTTACCTAGAAAAACTTATATCTTCGCCCTTTCCATCTTTCTTTGTACAGAGAGAATAATGCATTCAATATTAACATTTCCTAATTTTTTATGACATGGTCCAACTTCCGAATAAAATAAAGGAAATAAAAATTAATTGTTTTATTAGTGATATATGGGTTTTACTAAACAACTATTCTTTGTATGTAGCTCAGATTAGGTATATATTATTTTAGTTTATAAAACAGTATAAAATAAAAAACTCGAGGTATTCAGCAAAGTATATTTTAATTAGTTTTTATTATTATGGTTATATCATTATTACAACAGGGGCCTTCTTAAACAACCTTCGTATAGAATAAAGGAAATTTAATTTTTTTTAAATAAATAATAAATAAAATAAAAAATGTTAAAACTTTGTTTTGGACAATTATGTTATTGCATCAATATTTGTTCGTTAATAAAATCAATATAATGTAAAAAAAACTTTATTATAGTACTATAACTAAGCCATTTATGAGCACTGAATGGTGTGGTAGAGGCCTGTAGTGCCGCTTATATGCATTTTCTACGGAACCCCTTCAAATATCTTAAAAAGTAATCAGTGTTTTAGAAACAAAAATATATTCTCCAGATGGTTTATTTCAGCACGTTTTTCGTTATTGTTGGCCGTTTAAATACAAACGACGCTTGATTTTCAACATGAAAATTTTTTTGTTAAAAAAATTGATTTTATCGATGTTTTTTATTGCCTAAGCCAATTATTTTTTAATATTTTTTCATGTTATATTATTCTCTAACTATCCAGCTTTAATAAAAGACCAACTATGACGAAATTAAGCCAAACGCTGATTCTCAGTGACCAAAAAACTAACTAAAGTCAAAGTCGTTATTCGGCCATGTTTGGACGCCATTTTGGGGAAGTTCACTATTATTATGATTGTCAAATGTGGATGCCGAACAGCAATGCTGAACCATTCTGCAGGGTGCCTCCACTGCTGAGGGAAATAGTCCAGCAAAGTTAAGGAAAAAACAGCCTTACCCCACCATTCAAAAATAAAGATGAAAATTGTCAGAAATTGTTTGTTACTCTCCCCATAAAAACCGGTAAAAAGTCCCAAAGAATGCCGCGTCGGGTTTTGATGGGGAGAGGGGAGGAAGGACAGAAAAAATGATATTTTTTTGCTTTTTTAAGAATATCTCACAAACTATGAGGGTTTTTTTAGAAATATTGTTCAGTATAATATTAAATTATTTTAAAATCTCTATAAAAATGGTCCTATGCATTTGAATATATATATATGTGTGGGGAATGTGGGGGGGGGGGAGTGCAAGGTAGGGGGATCTGGCCCACCGTGAATAAAGCTTCTCCCCCAAAATGGTAAGATATAACCATGCCTAATGAAAAAAAAAACCTCTAAAAGCATTATTGTTCATGATATTACATTTAATTGGACTTCAAGAATGACTTGCTTTCTTTTTGTTTCAAAGTAAAATCGTTTTATATATAAATTCTTTTGGACTGAATTAAATTAAATCCTGGGTCGGTTAGTGCTGAGAAGACGTGTTTCTTTCTTAGATGTAGCCAGGCCCTACTACATTTCTTAATTGTATTAGTTCGGGTGGAATCTTTACAACTGGTGTGAACCAAAAAGTTGGCAAAACAAGGTAACTTTGGTGCTTGTCGTCTTTCCGTTCCTTATATGGTTTAATGAGGCCCAGATTACATTTCTGTGACCTCACAGATGTCGTTACTCCCTTTAACCACTATGTGTATGGATGTACATATTTATTTTAATTTTTCTTAACGTAATATTTATTCACTTCTTTTTAGTCCTGATTAACTTTATGTGTTTAATATTTTTTTTAAAACAGATTGCCTCTTTACTTGAAGTTGTGGCAAGAGAATACGATGAGCTAAAAAAAATTTTGAATACTATTCATCATGAGTTTGGTCATAACATATATGATACTTTACATCAAATAAAAGTGGTTTCTGGATATATTAATAATATTCGGCCTAGAGAAGCGTATTACCATACGACGCTAAGCAAAAGGTAATGTGTAAGTATATGGCTTTTAGATACCAATAATAATACATTTATCTGGGTTGCAATTATCATTTGATGCACAAGCGGATCTAAGGAGGGTACTTTCGGACTGAAGTACCGTCATAAAACCATGTTTTATGGAGAAAATATTAAAAAATTATGTCTTAAAGTATTATTGCTCGTGCAATTACAGTTAATAGGACTTAAAGAATCACTTAAACACCATTTCAAATAGGTAGTTAATATCTTACTTTTTTTTTTCGAAGTAAGTATCGTTATACATATGAAAAAAAAGCAGTCAGGCTGAAGTCCCCTCCCCAAAAATTAAATCCTAGATCCACTTGAAAGTGATTTGATTTAATTAATATATTATATATATATATATATATATATATTATATTATTCCACGCCCAGTGGTATAATAAAAGGCCTCTGGCCACAGATGCAAAGAACGCATACAGCGTGCAGAGCCCTCTTAACTTAAAATGCCCTTGGGCAATAAAAGGAAAGTTGAAAATTTATGTATATATACATTTATATACACACTGAATTTATTCAAGAAATTCCTGGAGGGTAGGAAAAAAAAAAAAAAAAAAAAAAAAAAAAAAAAAAAAAAAAAAAAAAAATATATATATATATTATATCAAATAATAATAATTTGATATTTTTTATTTGTATTTATATGAAATAATAAATATAAGTATGCGTAGATATAAAACAATAACAATTTTTCTATCGATTTGTGATGAAACTTTATGGAAAAATAATGCTATTTAAACAAAAATAGCAACAACTTTTTTTTACTTGAAAAATAATAGATTTTAGTAAATTATTGAAGTGTAAATAGGTGGCCACATTAAAAAGCCCTTGAAGTAGAAGATGTCCTGAAACCGAAAAGGCTTCAGCATTTTAAGCAAATTTTCAACTTAAGAAGCTCATACTACTACTCATATTACTCCTTTTCTGATTCGTATAGATCCTTCGAAAACCGTTGTTTGAAAGGTAATGAAATTCCCAACAAAGCCATATAAAAATCGTTCATTTTGGACAACTATTAACGAAGTTACAGATATTCGATTTCCAATGTAAGATTACGGTTTCATATCCTGGTGTCAGAAAGGGTTGAATTAGAGAATAAAGATGACTAAGTGATAGTAAGAAAATGTGTTGCCCGCATCACACAATCTTCACTATTTCCTCTACTTTTAACAGAAATTATTGTTTGACAATACTAAGCTATGCCAAAAAGTTTTTTTATCAGCAATATTAGGAAGTATTGAAATTTACACACTGATCTACCTTAAGTCGGTTTGCATTGCTTTAGTTTATCAAATAAATCGTACTCAAATCTTATGTTTGATCAATTTTCAGGAAAATGCATTTAGTTCAATTCTTTTTTGTTTCTTTATGAACATATGTAAAGATAAAAAAACTTTCCTGAAATAGGTAGGAAAGTCGTGTGAGTGGACACACCCAGACATGTTTTTTTCGAGCATAAGAAATTCTTGGTTTAGCTTTTAAAGATAGCATTTATTTATGTGTGTATATATATATATATATATATATATATATATATACACACACACACACACACACACACACACATATACACATACACATATATACATCAAATAAGACATTTGTTATTTATCATTACTATTTATTTATTATTATTACAAAATTTAGAGGAACTGTTTGGCCTCAAGGGGCCTCTGTTTTGATGAATGCAACATTCAGCACAACGATTCAATGCTTCTCTGGCTCTTCGTACAGCATCAGGAAGAGGCTTGATACCTACTGCAGCTTTCCTGATCCGATATCTTAGCTCTTCTTGGATGCCAACTGCTGCAGAATAAACCGTTGACTTCATCCAGCCCCTAACAAAATAATCTAATGGTGTTAAATCCGAAGATCATGATGGCCATTTAACGGGTCCGTTTCGACCAATCCATCTGTCTCCATAAGTTGCATTTAAATAATCAGCGACACTATTAGAAAAATGAGCTGGAGCACCATCATGCATAAACCACAGCTTTTGCTTAATGCCTAGCAGAATATCTTTTAGTAAATCATAAAGATTATTTTGCAAAAAATAAAAGTAAGATATACCAGACAGCCTAGGTGGCAAAAAGAAGGGACCTATGATGTTGTCGCTTAGATGACAACACCAGACATCTAAAGAAAAGGTATGTTGGCAAGCTCCAACAGCAGTCGTATGAGGGTTTTCTTCACACAAGTATGGGGGTAAAATTAAGAATCCCGTTTCTTGTAAAGCAAGATTCATCAGTAACCGAAATGCAGTTCATGAAGTTAAGATCTCGAGTGCATTGTCCAATTAACCACTGGGAGAAATTTCTGCGCTTCTTATAATCTTGTGGTAACAAATCTTGTCTACTCAATACGTGAAATGGATGCAATTGTTATACGCGTAAAGTTCGCTATACGCTAGTAGAGGAAACATCGAAACGACGTGACAATCGTCAGTTAATAGTAGTAGGAGATAACTGAACAGCATCGAGTATTTCATCTTCCTCGTTTGCAGTTAGTCGAAATCTTTGTTGACCGGCGTTTACTCATATAGGTTTTAACGTGCCATTATCCCTTTGACCATTGAAAGACTTTTGATTTGGTATTCTTCGGTTAGGAATTTTTTCACGATATCTTCGAACAGCAGCAGCACCGTTTCTATGTATCTCGCCATAAATTAAAAGTATGTCTGATTGTTCTGCAAAAGTGATTAAATTTATGGTGTCTCCCATGAAAACCATAAATTGAACTGTGTCACATATTCACTCACACTAAAACTAGACAAACAGATGAGCAACTACTGTCATTGTTTATCGTTCGTTTGTTTATCAGGTGATGAAAACCTGTTATTTAGTATTAAACACGTTAAAATTTGTACAGTCAGTCTTAATGTAGTAAATAAATAATAAATCTTTAACCTTTGACGTCTGTTTAATAAATGAGTTTGAGATATATGTTAATATGAACTTCTTTATTTATTTTGTGTTAGTGAACACATACCTAAAATAGTGCCGTGCAATTACGAAACACTCTGTATATTTGAGAAATAATATATAAGATATTTTGAATTTGAATATTTTTCAATATAACCGATTTTGTTTAATATATTTATTGATTCTTAGAGGTTTCTTAAATTTCATGGAAATGAATGATATTGTTACATGTTTTAGGATAAAAGATATACTATATCTACATTATATACAATAAATAGTTTAACAAAATTCATTTGAGTGACGGAACATCTGTCATTTTCAGAAAGTGGAGAAAAAATCAATTGCTTTATAGGTTCTACTCAAACTGTTTCTAATGAGTTTAATTAAGAATGTTCAAGTTGAATCATGAAAAAAAATAAGAATTGGTTTGGCTAACCTCAATTCAGGCTATGTTACAGAGGCAATAATCCCGCAATTTATCGCCTAAAACTCCAACCCTCCCCCTCCTATGTTACCAAAATTAGCGTTTTCTCAACTTTTTAAAAATCATGTTTATCTTTAATATGAGACCATTTATATATCAATAATATTTTTTTTTTTCTCTCGAAGTCTACTATTCTTTCAACATCGCTAATCTTTCGACATATCGATCGATTAATATTATAAATATTGACAAACAGTGACAAAGTGATATTGCACTATACTCTTATTTTCAAGTTGATTTTCGCTAACAATATAATATATTGATGTTAAAGCTATTTAATTTTTTTTAGACTCCTGAGAAAGAAAGATGATTCGATAGCAGCAAACATTAAAAAAACAGATAATGAAACAGTAAGTGATCCTGAACCGCAAGAATGCACGGACCATAAAATTTCCAAAGATCTGGTCGATGATGCGCAGAGAACAATTGATACTGAAATGAAAGCCGAAAAATTACAAGAATCTGACATTGTCATCTCTAGGCTTCTTGATGAAAAGTGGAACAGAAAAGACCATGAACTACTTGAGGAGAGGGGAAAAACTAAATCAGGAACCAACCTTGTCAACAACGATGACGAATTTTTCGAAGTATTGCAACCAGTCTCTGAAAATATTCCTATCCATGTAAAAACATTAAACAAATTACTGAAGCAGCATGAACAACTCAAATTAAACTTTGAATTTTTGACGGTTCAAGTAAATACACTAGCTGATTTTGCAGGTAAGGCTTCAAATTTCTTTGAAATATACTAAGAGATAATAAGTATTCGAAATATTACTTTCCATGATTTGAGAAATTTTATTAGGCATTAAAGTTGCATAGTAATTCTAGAGTTTCATGGCACAAGTTGCGCCATCAAAATTATTAAGGAGGACATATTTTGACGGATTTTTGAATTTTTGAGAGGGGCATGTTTTGACAGAGTTATAAATTTTCGGAATGAAAAATTTCAAAGGGACAAGGAGGAAACATGGAACAGTGTAATTGTGTAACATCTACGATTTTTCTAATCCTACCGTTGCTTGTTTTGTTTTTAAGAAAATATGAGCAATAAAATATCTTGGAGGGGAGTGGGAGGAAGGTAGGGGGCTATGTTTTTGCGCCATTAACCTTTGGGGGGATAGGCACCCCTGGCTCGGACCGTTCTAGAGTAGCTTTCATTTCATAATTATTATTAGAAAATAATATTTCATGATACATTTTTATTCTATTTCAATACTAGAATCCATTATCGTGTTGTCGAAAACGGATTTTAAAAGTACAATTGATTTTATTGTTGCATGTAGATTTTTTAAAAACTATTTGTTTTTTTTTCGTATAAAACGGACATTTAAATCGTTTTGTTACCGAATGCCTAGTTTTTGAAAATAATAACTTTTCTAATTTCTTCCATAACTTTTCTTGAAGGTGCATGTCATATTGGATCCAAATATGTTAAGTTTTAAAAATTAAATTTTTACTATTTATGAAATATTAAAAAAATCGATTGAAAAAGTAGATTAAGGAAAATGGTTCTGTGGTTCTTAGGGCGACCCAGATAATATATAAAGAAAGTGTTTGATATTTTTATTAATTATTAAAAAAATCCACTTATGGCGTCTATACTCTCAGTAATATATTACGCTCTTAATGAGAGAGAACTATAAAGGAAGGGTCTTCTATACCAAACAAGTAGGTGAGTACAATAATTGCTCAGTGTAAGTTAGGGGATAGTCTGTGTCTTGTAACTATTAAACAAGGGAAATATTTGCAGTGGGACAAGATAACCACTTGTTAAGTTAAATGTTACTATAAAAGTGATGGTAAAGTATGAAGCTTCACTGAATGTGTGTAATGAAAAATCTTGATATTAATATATATTATAAATAGAAAAACATGTTTCGCTCAAGCTGCTTACAATATTCTTATTTTCAATTTGAGTTGAATATATAACGAAATGAAAAAAATTACTTATAACTTAAAGTAAAATAGTATATAAGTAGTTTAATGAAGAGAAGTTGTTTGGGATATTTATCTCAGTAGTAAGTATTTATCTCAGATCACTCACCGAAACAACTATGAATCATAGGGAAAAAAAAATCTATTTGGAAGTCTTCAGCCCCAAAGCCTCTTCCCGTGCTCTCCTCACCGTAGATTTTATTTTAGTGTTTACCTTTACGTACTAAATGAGATTTGATGAATTCGGATTTGGTTTAGGAACCATTTTAGGTCCAAAAATGTGTTGCAGTATTTTTATCTGATTTGGGAATTCAGGTATTAATGCAAAATATTCACTGAAGTAATGATTAGATTTAATTTATTTGCGAAAATAAATTTTCCTTATTATATAAAAACGTTTTTAGTGTTAGTAAAATATTAGATTACTGGAGCTCCACTATTAGCTCTATAATTAGGACTAATTATATAGCTATTAATTTAATTACATATGTGTTGAGCCCTGTAACCTACTACTATCCTAATGTAAAATAGAGATTTTTGACTAAAAATTCATAGGGAAGATGGTATCCATCTGAAAATGGTAGTTTGATTTTACCTTGGTGACAGCAGTTATTTTTCGATCTAGACATTTTTCTTTTGAATACAATATATTATTATTGTATTATATATAATAACATTTATATTATATTGTGATATAATTATAATTATTATGAAATAGAAAAGGAAGCACAATATATTGAAAATATTAGAAATAAAAGGCTCATATTGATATTGTGCTTATATGAAGCTGGACAAGTTGAATATATATTATGGTTCCAAGTTGGCAATGAGAATAATTGTAATTATATAATCATATAAATTGGTAATAAGGCGGGATGTATAATATAGATTTTTAAAGAAATTAAAGATTAGTCTGAACTGTGGTTTCGTTCAGTTTATTTTATGTTGATAAAAAATTATAATAATCTGAACTACAGAATACATGTAAATCAAAGTTATAGAATTTGAGAAGCGAATAGTACAATTAAATGAACATTTTTAGAATTTGTAAAATGGGGGTTGGTCCGCCGTTTTCCAGGGGGTGCTCCCTTGTATATATATATTTTTATAACTCCACGTATGTTCCTAATTAGCATACTTAGTTGTTTAAGTTCATAACTTTCTCTTCACTCAGGCTATTATTAAATTCTTGCCGCCGTCAATGACTGCCAATCTCTTGGCAACATATTTCACTGAAAATGTTCACTGTTGTTTTTATAAACTTTCTATTATGTTCGGACATTTTTTGAATGAAATGGACATTCTTACTCATAGAAATTTTATTGTTAAGTAGACGGAATTCCAGAAATATATTGCGATCAAGAAACAGGAAAGGATTTTATACAAAACTAATAACTAGCCATTTAAAGGCTGGCGTTCAGAAACTTTTCTAGAATGAATACCTCTCAGTTCGATTTTGTTTTGAGTATAATACAAGATGATAGATTAGTTGGAACAATTACCAACGCAGTTCAGGGCTCAATTGAGCCTTAAGAAAAACCTTTAAGGTAATAATATAAAGTCTACAACTAACTTTCAATTAACTCCTAACATAAAAATGATATCATTTTGCATGTAATAGTACCTATTATATTAAAAATTAACAAAAAAATAATTTTTAAAATATATTAAGACAACGAAAAAAAAAATGTACACTCTTCTAATAATTTCTAACTAACATAACTAAAATAATTTCTAATAACCTTCGGACTAAAAGACAAGGGAAAACATGGAACTGATCTCAGCAAGTGTAAATGCATATGATCTGCGATTTTTCTAATTCTACCTTACCTTGCTTTGTTTTTAAGAAATGGCGACTATTAAAATATCTTGGGAGTAGAGGGGGAAGATTAGGTTCTTCGCCATCGATCTTGGGAGAGACGCCCCCTCCCCCTGTTCCTTCAAATCACCTAAGCTATACATCTGCGAAAGAAATTCATTTAAAAGAAGTTATATAGTCTAAAATTCCCTATTAGAATATATATACTTATGCAAATTAATCTTCAAAAAATCTACACTTACAGCTATTTTAAACTTTTTGTAAAATGTAAACAATTATGAACCTCAATTGTTATCACTGTTCTCATTATCTTCTTAATTTTACACTGACAACTTTATATGGATTCGTGTTTTCATCCAATTTGGACATGTGGGTTGTGGCAAAGGCTGTTCTTCCTTAGCCTCTTCCTTACAACTATTTAATTTAAAAAAGTCAACAACAAAAAATTAAATTACGCACTGTCCCAAAATGGCATAAAACTTGTCGGTTAACGATTTTGATCTAAGTTCGTTTTTCGGTCACTGAGATTCATCATTTGGTTTAATTTCGTCAGAACCGACATTTTATTAAAGCTGGACAGTCAGAAAATAATAAAACTTGAAAAATATAAACAAATAATTGGTTTAGGCTATAAAAACACTGGTGTAGTAAATTTATTCAATTCGTTCAAACTAATCTTGAAAATCAAGTGTCGCACAGATGTGCATAACACCTTATTTTCGGGAAAAACAACTTCGCCCACACACATTCGACTTTAAAACTCAAATAGAGGTCATTTTATACGCATTTTCTTATTCTAAATTGAATAAAACAAGAAATAAATTGATAGCTTTATTAGTTTTTATTTTGAGAATATTATGTTTTAAGTTTTGATAAATTCTGGATACAAATTAATTTGATAATTCAAGTCAACATTATTGGAGGTAGATTTTGAAGATAGAAAAGATTGAAATAAAAACAAATATAATATGAATGTTTAAGTATTTAGATTCATAATAATTATATAATATTTAATTAAAGGTTCAAGCATAAATATGATTTTTATAAAAATCGATATTATCCGTCGAAAGAGTATCTTAATTTTAAAATTGTTAATATTGCTGTGTTTTATTACATTCTCACCTAATTAGCCCCTCAAAGAAAAATTTTATTACTAAAAAATAAAAGAAGATTTAAGCTCTGTTGAGAATAGTGGTTTTTTTACCTTTATTATTTCCATATTTATTTTATTTTATTTTTTTAAAACCTATTACATTTCCGTAAAATTTAGATTGAGGACTAAGGCGATTGTGGAGAGGATAGTGGAAGGTTCAACCTTACCCCAATAATTTTAGAACGCAAGCAATCATAAGATTTGAGAACCGACTTCAAACTGTAAAAATTAAGATAACACATTTTACTAAAAGAGTTACTACAATTTATAAGAAATCCCCATTCCCACATATATTATTACAGAAAGGCTCAAAATGGGTTTTGTACCAAATATAAGCTCCTGTCAAGCCCAAATACCATGAATGGGGTACCGTTGGATTCAGAATTTCACGGGGGGTTAGCGAATCGTATTCTCCACTTTTGCTTTTCTTTCTAAAATAAATAAAGTCGATATAAACATTTTGCTGGGCTTCAATACTGGAACATTGGTAGGTCTGTAGATCGATACGACACAAATTGGACCTTGAAGATTTTGATGAGTACAGAAAGAACCCGGATATTTCCCTCGAAACTATTGGATCCTGCGATTTTAAGTCCAAAAACGTACTATTTTCGAGATAACGCAAGGCATATGGTTCGCATTCACACTACCTTACGTTAATTGTAATACTGTCATTGAATACATGTCTCATTTCGTCGACTTGAGGCCTCTATGATCGAGAGAGGAGGAGTTTATATTAGTTATCGATGATGTTTTTGATCGGCAAGCCATCGTCAATTCTTCACCAAATCTCAAGATCGAGCCACCAAT